CCCTTATGTTTTTTTTTTTTTTTTTTTTTTTTTTTTTTTTTGGTTTTTTGGTTTTTTGAGACAGGGTCTCACTATGTAGTTGAGACTGACCTGGAACTCACTATGTAGCCCCGTCTGGTCTCGAATTCACAGCGATCCTCCTGCCTCAGCCTCCTGAGTGCTGGGATTACAGGCATGCGCCACCACACCCAGCTCCTTCTTAAAGATTTTACTAGCTCTTTTCAGTCTAGGGTATAGCGCAGTGGTAGAGTGTGTGATTAGCATGTACCCAGTACTGAATTCAATCCCTGGTACCCCTCCAAAAAAAGCTTTTTTCATGTTTTACTTCTTTGAGGTAGGATGCAGAAGAAACCATGTGTTAAATAGAGAAAATAGCATTATTAGAGATTATTCCCATATGTGACTTGGCTTCTTGCCGCTATCAGAGTAGACAAAGTATACTTGATAAGTCTACCATCTCTCTATCTTCCATGGACAAATGAAGAAATCAAGGTATGTAGTCTTTTTTGTTTGTTTTTTGTTTTTGTTTTTGTTTTTTTTGGTAATGGGCATCGAACTTGGGACCTTGTGCTTGTGAGGCAGGTGTCGGAACCACTGAGCTAAATCTCTGTCCCCGTATGTAGTCTTTATAATGCATATTGCAGATGTTCCTTGACTTACGATGGGGTCATGTCCTGAGAAACCCACTAAGTAGAAGATAGTGGGCATTGAAAATGCGTTTAATACACCTAACCTATCAACCATTATAACATTGTAGAATGTCAGTTGTTCACCCTAGTGATCCTGTGGCTCATTGCTACTCCCTCGCATTGCAAGACAGTATCATATCACATTATTGAAAAGATCGAAATTCAAAGTATGCTCTGTACTGACAACACACCACCTTTGTATCATTGTGCAGTCAAAAGATCGTAAATGACATCATCCTGAGAGGAGGGCCATCTGTACACAGGTTCTGCACTAAATACAGCGATGAGTGTACGCTCTTTTCTTGCTCTGCCTTGTTCCCTGTCACAAGAACCTACCACAGATTTTTTTTATCCTACCGTGTTTTCAAGGTAACTAAAGATTCCCTCCCCCTCCCTCTTTCTCTCTCTCCCTCTTTCTCTCTCTCTCTCTCTCTCCCTTTTTAACAGCAGAAACCAATGACAGCTATCATATTATACTGAAGTAGGAGTGGGGCATTCCATTGTCAGTGGCTGCTGCTTCCTTCACCTCTTGAAAACTGCCTTCTGCAAGGGGACGTGAATGGAGAATGGACTGAAGGATCTGCAGGAACCTGGCTCGTCTGACTGTGTTGGGGATTTAGCCCTGGATGCAGAATCTCAGCCTTATATGTTATTGCCCCAAGTTTCTCAGCACACACAGATTACTGCCCAAAGTGGAACTCTGCAGTTATCTTGCAGTTGAAATTCTGGACTTTGTTGTCAAATATCCATAAGAATGCCACATCATGTAGGGTTATGTAGGGCATAGTGATGATGGGAATTGTGTGATGTTTAATAGAAAAATGGTAAATTTTGTGATATGGAGCCATATACTGTTTTTCTAATATGAAAATGAACATCTATATTCATAAGACTGGGTCCTCAATCTCTTTTACATCAAACGCATTGCCATTTCTGCTTTTTATGCCACAGTTGGCCCCTGAAAACTTCATCAATGAGGAGAGATACAGACAGAATTTTTCTTTTGGTTCACCTGGTATACTACAACTAATGGTTGTTTGGGCTAATATTTGAGCCAGGCTGTGTGGATAAGTCTCTACATGGATCATCTTTCTGCAGCACTGTAATAACCCCGTATGAAGTAGGCACTGCAGTGATTACTAAGTGAAGACGAGGAAACAGAGACACACAGTGGCTAAATAGCTTGCTAAATACCCGGCAGCTAGCCAGTAGTGATGTTGGAATTCAAGCCCAGACTCCCTGGCTATTATTCACCATCCAGTATTGCCAGTGCCACCTTTCCTATCCTATGGTCACCAGTGTTTCTTACTGTGGCTTTTCTGGGGAACTGAGGAATCAACCATGGAAGGAGATAAACTAAATAACAAACAAATCAAATCAAAACCTACAGAAAATTGAAATGCTTTTTACGTGTCATCAGTTGTCCAGAATCACAGAATGTGAGGTGATGAAAACTCAGGGCGGTTTCCCCAAAGTTATTGTTCTTGAATGACATGCTCAAACTATTTATTTATAAATGAGTTAAGCTAATCCCTGCTTTTCCCCCTGTATATTCTTTCGGTATAGGAAGTTCTTTTATCCAGGTAGTATTCTTTTATATAAGCTTTACAAGAAATTTGTTCCTGTACCATCCACAGTCTTACCACGTTTTTGTGTTCCGAGAATGATTATGTGCGGATGTCTGTGCACACATGTGTAAGTGTGGCTGTTTTTCATATGTAAAGTTTTATCCAGAAATTTCTTTACAGATTATGTTGAGATGAACAAAGATAATGTTAAAAGATTCTGTATTGAATTTGAATTGTGTGTGTGTTTAAAAGCATTTGATAAAGTTTAACTTTTTTATACAGAGATTTTGTTCATTAAAATCAATCTACAATATGGTCTGATTTCTCTTGATTTGAAACAAATTGAAAACTTTGAAACCAGAAAAATTAATCCAATGACTTCTTAAAAACTGACCTGAGCAACTTGACATATTAGCCCAAAATATTTTTTTAGAGAGTGCTTACTGGATGTTCCCATTTTGGGAGGATATTTCTAGTTGAATCATCTTAGGACTGGCTCTCTGCTTCAGGGATGTCTGTGTTTCTCTCTCTAGTAGGCTGGGTTTTTTGTTTGTTTTGTTTGTACTGGAGGTCGAACTCAGGACCTTGTGCTTGTGAGGCTGGCGTGGTGCCACTGAGCTAAATCCCCACAGGCTGGGGATTTGGTTATGATTTTTTTCTATTTTTTTTCTGGATGTTAGGATGGAGAGTTGCACTTGGTGACTTTTAACATCTCATCCAATCTGTGAATCTATGATTCTGTGTACTGTACATGATGATTCTATTAATATATTGACTATAAATTATACTTACTAAATTTTACTTGAATCAGGATTTTGTTAAGAGTAGTCTTCACATTTGTGGAAATGAATTTATATATAACATTTTGGGGGGTTGTTTGCTTTGTTTTTTTGGGACAAGATCTTGCTCTGTAGTTCAGACTGGCTTTGAACTCAGTAAGTAGCCCAGTCAGGCTTCATACTTATGATTCTCCTGCCTCATCCTGAGTACTGGGATTACAGGCATGTGCTACCATGCCTGGCTTGAGTTTATACAATATTGTAATAGCAGATCTTTAAATCTTCAGAAAATATCTTAGGCTTTTAGACTTTCTTTAGTTTCTAATAACACAACAACAGTTATTAATTATATTTTAATATGTGTAGTAATTATTAATATTTATTAACAGTTAATGCCAGAGTTATTTAAGAATTGGTATAGTGATAAAACATTACAATTACTTGATTTGCTTTATGAAATTACATGTTTATTATTCATTTTTTTAATTAAGTAAAAATTTAATTTCTTTTTTTCCCCCCAGTACCAGGGATTGAATTTAGGACCTTGTACTTGCAAGGCAGGCACAGTGCCATTGAGCTATATTTCTAATTAAGTAAAAATTTTAAACTAGCTTTTTATTATGAATTATAAAGTCAAATAAAAAAGATCTTTATTCTTACCTCTTAGTCCCCCCCACCATACAAATACCTGTGGTCATATTATACTAATGACCTGCAATTTGATTTTTGTATTTAACATATCTTGAACTTTTTTTTTTTTTTTTTTTTTTGGTACCAGTGATCCAACTCTGGTCCTTGTGCTTGCAAGGCAGGTGATGGAACCACTGAGCTAAATCCCTGGCATTCTTGAATATTTTTTATATTAGAATTTATAATTCTACATTCTTTTAAAATATAATTTCTATGGATATGCTTCAGGTTAAATTCACTTGAACATGTGTCTTTATGAGTTTTTTGCACATATCTCTAAGATGTGTTCTTAGAAGTTAAAATTTACTGGATTTTGTCTTTTTAACAATATGACAGTTGATATTTAAAGTAAATGGTTTAATATTTCTATTACAGTGAGGGTATAAGAAAAGCAGAATGGTGAGGTGTTAAGCCCTTTTGAGAAATGAGATATCATTATATTTGATTTACCATTGTCTGTACTGTTCCCTTGAAGTATAATAGGTTCCATGTAGAAAAATACGTATAAAGATTTGATAGCTGAAAGGGAGTTATTGGGGAATGAAAACAGGGAGGGCTAATTACAGAGCTCTAAGGATTGAGCATTAGTCACTAAATGAATTGTGGCTATTAAGCAATAAGATTGTTTGTCCAGTGTTACTTACGGGCCAATAAGAATGTTTGCCCACATAAATGATTTATTTAAGAAACCATTTAAAGGGGAGAGGAACAGACTTGGTGTTACTGTATTGGCTAGAAAATGATGACATCAAGTAGAAGATAAACAAAGACCTGAGAAAGCAAAGTCCACCTCAGGGCAGATATTCTGATTCCTGGAAGTCACACAGTTGGGCACTGGGCTTGTTGTACCAATACAGTGTGCTCTCTCCAGGGAGCTGGAGATACACAGGGAGATTGGCAAGTAGAGACGGCCTGGGGTCCAGGAGCCGGCTGTTTCTAATGCACGTGTGGAGTGCTCTCAGAACACTTGTGTCCCCAGGTATTCTGAGAAAGTCGAGTGTAGAGGTTCGCCGCAGAGACTGGGACTGTCTTGCAAATCATAAAAGACTGAGTGAAGCTGTAGTGTTCAATCTTGAAGGCAACGCAAATTTAAAATGCAAGTGTTTGAAGGCAGGATTGAGCTGCTCTTTCTTCGTTGTAACCCCCCCCCCCCGCCCCGTCAGATCAAACAATTCCAGATAGCTTGGCCCTGGAGAGCTATAAGGGAAGAACCCTTTTAACATTTTACTGATTCATTAGTCTGCCTCCTTGGCTGTGGGTGGCTCTATAGGAGCCTGCTCTGTGATGCTCACACTGGCCTGTTAAGAGCACTCCACTCTCACAGGAATGGCACAGATGCCCCACGCTGCTCCACATTTTACAGTCTATTCATAGAGGGTAGTCCTGCATCATTTTTCGGTTTCCCCTGTAAATGATCTTTTTTTTTTTTTTTTTTTTTTTTTTAACTCAGGATCTTGCACTTGCTAGGCAGGCATGGCACCACTGAGCTAAATCCCCCGCCCTGTTTTGTTTTTTTGAGACAGAATCTTGTTAAATAGTTTAAGCTTGCCTTGAACTCACTATGTGGGTCAAGTTGGCCTTAAACTTGCAGTGATCCTACTGCCTCAGCCTCATGAATGCTGGGATTACAGATGTGACCCACCATACTTGGCAATTTTTTCCCCTCTTTATTTTATTTATTGATTTTAAAACTTTTTATTTTTTGGTACCGGGGATCGAACTCAGGTCCTTGTACTTGTGAGGCATGTGGCAGAACCACTGAGCTAAATCCCTGGCCCTATCCTCTCTATTTTATTTTATTACCCTCTTTTTAAATTTCCTTTTCCTTTTTTCCCTTTTTGTATTTCTTTTTCTTTTTTCCTCTATTTTCTTAGTTGTGGATTAAAGCTTTTTCTGCTATAACTTTTAGTGTGCATTTTTTTTTTTTTTTTGAGACAGGCTCTTTATATATAGTCCAGGCTGGCCTTGAACTCATCATGGCAATCCTGCCTCAGCCTCCTTAGTGCTGGGATTACAGGCGTGCACCACCACACCTGCGATTAAATTTTCATTTTATATCAGCTCCAAGGCTGAAATGACAGGAATACACAACTGCTGCAAAATGGAATGTGCTGGGAAAGATGTCTTATGTGATATACAAAGTAATGTCAACAACATCTGTTTCTTTCCCCTTACTTTACTTTTTAAATTAATTTTAATGACCTATTTTACCTTCACCCTTGAATTTGTATTTAATTCCACCTTTTTCCTTTGTCTTTCTACATCTTCGCTCTTCCCCACAGAGATTTCCTCTGTGTCATTCCTAATGGGCATAGGACTAAGCGAAAATATCAACAATATTTTCTTGGAAGTTGTAAATTTGGCTTTTGTATTCTCAGATTCAGAGATTGAAAATTTTTATATGAATTAAGTTTTTATTTTTTATTTTTGGTACTGGGGATTGAACTCGGGTCCTTGTGCTTAATGAGGCAGGAGGTGGAACCACTGAGCTAAATCCCCAGTCCCTGAATTAAGTTTTCTAAATGGATTAATGTCAGTTATAAGGAAACCTGCTATTTAAGGTAATATGTACTGTCCATTTATTGTCATTGTATATGCAATAAGATCTCATGGGACATGAGTTATAGCTAGTTTATTATGTGGATGTTTTCATAGACTTATGATGAGGTGTACAGTATTCATTTTAATCATTGCAGATTCCTGTTTTCTTCCTGAGATCTAATGTCTGATTTTTCCTTTAAGGATTTAGTTAATATCTTTCCCTAGTCATCTTGGTATTTCTTGCCTCAGATTTTTCACTTCCTTGAGTTTATTAATTAAGCATGTCCTGTCTAGGGCTGGGGGATGAAGAACACTTCTCTAGCATGTAAAAGGTCCCGGTTCCATCTTCTACGCTGAGCCAGGGATAGTGATGCACGGCCATGATCCCAGAACTAGGGAGACTGAGGCAAGAGGATCACTGTGAGTTCAAGGCCAGCCTGGGCTACTTAGAGAGTTCAAAGCCAGCCTGAATTACAGAGCAAGACCCAGTCTCAAAAAACCAAACCAAACTTCAACACTGAAAAAAAAGATATAATAATTTTAGGGTTGTTGGAAAGATTAAAAGGGATAATGAGTATGAAACACAGTTTTGTACTGAACAGCTATTCAGTTGCTCAATAAACTAAGGATATCTTTGATTTAAAATCACCTCGATACGCAGCCATATCTGCACGGCTGAGGTATTAATTGTGCCCAGGACATAAAATCTGACTTTTGGTTTTCATCTGTGGCTACTGTTTGCAGGGCCTATTCTTTTCTTTTTGTTTTGTTTTGTTTTTTGTTTTTTGAGACAGGGTCTCACTATGTAGTGGAGACTGACCTGGAACTCGCTATGTAGCCCAGGCTGGTCTCAAACTCACAGCAATCCTCCTGCCTCAGCCTCCCTAGTGGTGGGATTACAGGTATGCACCATCACATCCGGCTTCAGTGACTATTCTTAATCATATGTCTTTTCTTCCTGTTTTTGACTTTTACTCCCAAAACAAATCACCTATTTGCAATTTGTGCCTTTTAAACTGGTCCACACATATGTTGCAGCATGGTCCAGTGTTGTTATGTCATTGTGGCACTGGGTATTGGACCTGGGGCCTATGTTCCCAGCCCCTTTTTATTTTGAGATAGGATTTTTTTTTTTTTGCAGTACTAGGGATTGAACTCAGGACCTTGCCCTTGCCAGAAAGACACAGTTACATCCCTGGCCCTGAGATAGGGTCTTAATGAATTGCCCAGACTATTTTTCAACTCGAAATCTTACTATGTTAGCCTCCCAAATGCTGGTATTACAGACCTAAGCCACCATGTCTAGCCAGAGTTACTCACATAGTAGTATTAGCGTTTCTGTCACTTTTCTTTGCAATTATATTTCAACAACATAGAAGTTCTATTTCTGTCCTTCACTGGAGCTTCCTGAACAGCTACTGACCTTTGCCTTTCTTAGGACCTACTTAGGCTGGGGTAAACTTGCAGTTATTATGCGTGAACTGGAACCACTGTAACTTACCTAGTGATTGTATCATGACAATAAAATATGGTAAGTAATTCTATGATAAGTAGTTGTGAAGTTTGCTGCAGGTCCAGGTGACCTTTTAAGTGATCTAGAGCTTACTGCCTAATGGAATTCTACTATTTTCTCAAAGAACCAGCTGTCCTTGGTTTGCCTGTATTCTAGCTTGAAGGCATTAGCCAACAAAGCTTGGGCATTGGGGCTGTTGTTACCATGAAAAATTTCCATGACTGCTGGAACTTTGGATGTGTGGGCCTGTGAAACACATTTTTTTTTTCAGCCTGCTCACCGTGCTCTTTAAGCTGTTTTTGTTGTTACTCAGCCTGCTGGTTCTACAGAGTAGCCTAGGGTCTTCTTTTTAGAAGAATAGAACAGAACTTTTTGAACAACTGAATAGAAAATTTATGATTAAAAATAACATTTAACATAGCACTGATTAGGTTGTAAACATAATACATAGTATAATATAGAATAGTAGCTAATTAACCTTCACAAAACTCTTTGAGATGCATACTGTTATCCACATTGTGCAGATGAGGAAGCTAAGGCAGAGAAGTTAGATACTTACATACTTGTCCCCATAATTATATCACACTAGAGTGGAGGAACATACCTTTATATTTAAATAGTCTAGCTCTAGGCTCTGTGCTGTTAGTCTCTCATTCTCTGAATTTCAGCCCGCAAACAGATGATCAAAGCCCGGTGCCCTACGGTGTGCTTTATTGTGATCTGCTGTTTTTTCATTTTGCACTATTGCCTCCTAGATGCTTGTAGTCTCTGATCTTACCCAGGGGAGAAAACTAGAATTCTTGGCATTTTTAAAAAGCCATCCAACCTCATAATTTTAAAGAGGGGACATTTTGGTAGCCAGTAGATCTGGCTTCATAGTTTTTTGGCTGCAATGAAAAATGCAGTAGGAATTGGAACCATCCTAACTTTGAGGTTTGTTTCCTTTTTGAGACAGTCTTGCTTATTGTAGCCTAGGCTGTCCTTGAGCTCCACATCCTCCTGCTTCAAATTCCCAAGTGCTGGAATTATAGGCATGTATTACCATGCCCGGCTCTAACCTGAGTTTAAATCCTGCCATCCATCCATCAATTCAGTAAATATCTACTGTGCTCCCAAGTGTCAGATGGGTTTTGTACTGGATGCTGAGAATACAGTAAACAAAACAATTCCTTTGTGTCATGGCATTTAGTTGAGTGAGGAAAGACTGAAAAACAGTATGTCAGATGGTAAAATTTAACAAATATGAGGCAAAGAGTCTAAAAAGCACTATTTTAGAAATGTGGCTAGGAAAGACATGTCCCTGACACAGGGACATTTTGAATAGATAGGAGGCGAAGGAGTAAGTATGTAGCCCACTGGTGGAAGAGTTCCAGGCAGAAGGCCCTACGGTAAGAGCATGATTATTCTGCCGAAGGAACCGCAAGACCAGTGGGCCAGTGTATTGAAGCAGGATGTGGGAGAGGGAAAGTAGAAGCACAGAAGATGGCAGACTGAGTGGGAGAAGGAACCACAGAACGTACTTATAGAATCCTATAGGTCAAGGAAGAAACCAGAGATGAAAAACTTAAGCTATTTGTCTTTGGCAGTTCACAAATAACTTCTGACTTCAAGACTTTGTTTTGTTTTGTTTTGTGTTTGTACCCAGGATTGAACTTGGGTCTTTGCATTTGCAAGGCAGGTGCTGGAACCACTGAGCTAAATCTCCAGCCTTCCCCATTTTAAAGATGGGTTGCAAAGTTCTTTTGTTAAGGACACCTAACTCACTCTCGCTTCTAAGTAGGTAAATGAAGATATTTGCTTGTATTTTCATTATAACTTGGTCAGGCTGCAGCGAATTGATATTGTTCTAGGCTAAGCCCCATGAACGAGAATTATGTTCCTTAGTCAAGGGACTATGATTATGGTGAAAGGAAAAACAGCTTTAGAGGAAAATTCATTTAGTCATTGAAGATGTTGTAGCTGAGGGTCTCCTGCCTTTCCTTCAAAAGGCTGCAATAGCACCAAACTTTTTTTTCTAGGGCGCACTTCAGACGCTGCCTCTGCATCCGGATAGCCCGCTTGCTCCAGCTTTGCGGCATTAGCCGCCTCCAACTCCCGGCCTGCGCTGGGCGAGGGGCCCTTACGTAGACTCCATTTCCCAGCCTGCTCCGGGACTCGGCCAGGACGTGCCGGCGCCTATAAGAGCCGGAGCGCTGCGGCCGGAGCCTATTGTTAGCCGGAGCCGGGGCGGTTC